GTCCTGTAATACAACAAGACCTTCGAAGTTTAATTATCACGTGGAGACAACATTATATTTGTTTTGTCGGTGATATAATGAAGATGTACAGAATGGTGAAGATGTCCGAGGAACATACAAAATTACAATGCATCGTTTGGCGAGACAATTCAGATGAAGTATTAAAAAGTTACCAATTAACGACTGTAACATTTGGAACGGATGCGGCTCCATTCCTTGCTGTAAGAACTCTATTAAAGTTAGCCGACGATGAATATTCTAATGATGTTAAGTATTCGGAAGCTATGAAAGCAATAAAGGAGTCATTTTACGTTGATGATTTAATGGGGGGACATGAAGATGTTGAGAAAGCAAAAAAGTTATGTGTTGACATTAAAGAGATATTAGAAAAAGGCGGTTTCAAAATAAAAAAATGGTCAAGTAATTCAGAAGAAGTACTACAACACATTCAAGAAAACAACAAAATTGAAGATTCATTGGAAATTAAATTAGATAAAGTTATTAACATCTTAGGACTTATCTGGGATCGAAGAGAAGATGCATTTAAAAACACAGTTAACTTACCTTTACTTACCTATCCTATAACAAAAAGATCCATCCTGTCTGACATTGCCCGTTTATTTGACCCTTTTGGGTGGTTATCTCCTGTAATCATCCTAGCAAAAACTTTCATACAAAAGCTATGGCTTTTAAATTTTGGGTGGGATGATGAACTACCTGAAAAGCTAGTTAAAGAATGGATAGATTATAGAAATGACTTACCAGCTCTACAGCACATTAAGGTGCCGCGTTGGTTTCATATAACGTCACACACGAAAGAAGTACAAATTCACGGCTTCGCAGATGCCTCAGAAAGGGCCTTTGCAGCTGTTGCTTACCTGCGAGTAGTTGATGAAAATAATGCAATCTATGTATCAATGATCGCATCTCGAACAAAGGTGGCTCCTCTAAAACAGCTTTCTATTCCAAGACTTGAACTGTGTGCTGCTGCGTTGCTGTCAGAATTACTGGAAGAAGTCACTGAAATACTTAAGGTTCCCATTGATCATGTTTATGTATACACCGATTCCATGGTAGTGCTATCTTGGCTTCAATCTCAGCCAGGTAGATGGCGCACATTCGTTGCCAACAGAGTAGCAGAAATCCAAAGATATCTTAATAGTAGCAGGTGGAATCACGTACAATCATATGAAAATCCCGCTGACATTGCATCCAGAGGAGTAAAATCCAGTGAACTCAATAACATTGATTTATGGTGGAATGGACCAGAATGGCTTAAACATGAAAGTATACAAATCTTACGAAATCATTCTATACCTCAGACCTATGAAGAAGAAAAGGAGGTAAAAGAAATAGAAGGTTCTTATCATACAAACATAATACAGAAAGACGAAAAACCAATATGGGAACGATTTTCAACCCTAACTAGATTGAGAAGAGTTTTATCGTACTGTATGAGAATGAAGAAAGGAAGCAAGAAGTTACATATCACAACCGAAGAAATGGAAAATACATTACAAAGGTGTATTAATTTTTATCAAGACAAAATATATCAAAAAGACATAGAAGACTTGAAGAAAGAAGGAAAAGTCAAACCCAAAAGCTCACTGTCAACATTGTGTCCTTTTCTAGATAAAAATGGTTTATTAAGAGTAGGAGGAAGACTACAGAATGCAGAAATTTCTGAAGCTACTCAACATCCAATCATTTTATCTCAACAAGTGCACATTACAAAATTAATTGTTCAAGATGCACATATAAAAACTTTACATGGTGGTATCCAAATAATGAAGGCTTACATTAGAAGTAGATATTGGATTGTAGGGATGAAGAATGCTATTAAATGGTGCGTTAGAAATTGCAAGGTTTGTATAATAAGTAAGGCTAAGGGACAGGCGCAAAGAATGGGACAGCTTCCTGCATGTAGAGTGAATCCACACAGAGCATTTCTTAAATCTGGTGTGGACTATGCAGGCCCTATTTTAATTAAATCATCTAAAGGTCGAGGTCACCATGCTACAAAAGGATATATCTGCCTATTTGTTTGTATGACAACCCGTGCAATTCATTTAGAAGCTGTAACAGATTTAACATCAAAGGCGTTTATTGCTGCGTTTCGTAGATTCGTAGCTAGAAGAGGATTTTGTTCTGAAATATGGAGTGATAACGCCACTAACTTCGTTGGTGCATCCAAAGAACTTAAAGATTTATTTCGGAAAAGTAAAACTAATATAACACAAGAAGTAGCTGAACTGTTATCCAATGACGGAACAACTTGGCACTTTATTCCACCAAGAATGCCTAATTATGGCGGTTTATGGGAAGCTGGAGTAAAATCAGCAAAAATACATTTATTAAGAATTAATGGAAATGCTAAATTAACTTATGAAGAGCTTTCAACGTTACTAGCACAAATAGAAGCATGTTTAAATTCCCGCCCCATATGTCAAATTGATGAGACCTTTGAAACCCTCACGCCACTAACTCCGGGTCATTTCCTAGTAGGGGAACCCCTAATAAGCATTCCTGATGTTAATTACGATGACCAGAAGATTGGTTTTGTTGCTGGATGGTATATGATACAAAAGATGATTCAAGATTTTTGGAAAAGATGGAAGACCGAGTATCTCAATACCATGCAGCAAAGATATAAATGGCAAAACAATATTTCAGCCCCAAATATTGGAGATATTGTCATTATTAAAGAGGACGACTTACCACCTACTAAATGGCTATTAGGTTGCGTTAAAGAAGTCCACCCTGGAAGTGATGGCTTGGTAAGAGTGGTTACCTTAAGATGTAGAGGTAACAACACATTGAAGAGACCAGTATCAAAGTTATTGATGTTACCCAAGGAGAAGGATATAATATAGTTTGCATGATTTTTATTAATACAGTCCACTATTCGAAAGGAATTTTAACATTTTATTTTTATATAAAGTTAAAGCATTGTTATTTTTTTTGTATAAAGTTAAGTAAGAAGTTTATGTCCAGTATCATATTATAATGTAAAGCTTGAAGTTAAAAACAATATGTTTTGGTGAGCGGCATGTTTAGTCATTAAGTTGCAATAATTCAAGTGAAGAGAGAAGACGTGTTTATTTTTAAATTTAATATTATTGTGATAGTTATTGAGAATTGAACCATAAGTGATCGAACAATTATTATTATTATTATTATTATTATTATTATTATTATTATTATTATTATTATTATTATTATTATTATTATTATTATTATTATTATTATTATTATTATTATTATTATTATTATTATTATTATACGCGAACAATTGCTATGGGGTAGTATAACAGAATGGTTCATAAGTTGGTATAAAACATATTAAGGCGAAACGAAGTTCGTGGGTGCAGTTAGTGTATGAAAACAAATTAATTTAAATCAAACTTGTGTAGTTTTAGCCTTGTATAAAAAGACGACACTGAGGTCGAACCCTGGTTGGTTTTTCTTATTGTATTCTGTGTGTCAAACACTTACTACTAAGTGAATAAAATATCGCTAGGATATCAGCATATCTTAAACCCTGGAGATTTAGAAGGATCTTACTTCCTAAAACAAAAAAGCAAAGGAACAGCACTGGTACTCTTTAACTGCCAATAGCGAGACTGACGTTTTTGTTTTTGTATATAAATTCAACGTATATTCTCAAACCTCGTAACGGACATGTCACAACATTGGGATAGCGTGCTAAAAATCTCAATCGCAATCGCAGTCACTACCGATATATACGCATAATAACGCCAATTACCTCGTCGTGCTTAAGAGACATCATATAATAAAAGGTGTCTATACATCTAAATCCCATCCACGATGCATTAATCACATTAAAGTATTAGAAAAGGCTGCCAGACGGCCACAACAAAACGGTACAAATAGAGGACAAAACATTCTGTATTCCACTAGAATCCTACAGAAAATTTATCGAAGACATAATTGGTACCGTATCAGTGCGCGGTCCATTTCGCTAATGGACGCAGATTTCATTACACATTTTGGGATTACAGAAATTTATTTGGCTTTGGACTAATGGAGCTTTCAATCCATTACGTTTTTTTTGTAATACATAAGTTTATAATTAAAGGTACAAAAAGTTGGTAAAAAATTCTAAATTTTAACTATTATAACGCGAACTAATTAGTAGTATAAACCCCGCTAAAGGACTTGCTTTTTATAATTAAAGTATGACCTGGCGCCCTACGACTTTAATTTATTCCCAAGAACTGAAGATAAAATTCGAGGTATTCGCTTTACGAGCCCTGGAGATGCGGTGAAAGCGTACGAAAATGCCATAGAAGGGACCCCTAAAGAAGAATGGGCCCACTGCTTTTCTCAGTGGTTCCATGATGGTGAGAGGAACGTAGATTACTTCGAAAAACAATAAAAGTATTGGCAACTTTCCACATTAAGCCGTTTTTCATTTTCTAAACATTTTCATCGTTACCTAGGTATCCACCTAGTTTTATAATAATGCATAATATTAAATCTAAATATTGTTCATATCAACTCTTAGAGAACAATTGTAACGTAACCACAATATTGTTTCTTTAGAACGATGATAAGTTGTTCCAAGTACACAAACAACTTTTAGAATTCAGCCACTGGGGCGTTTAGACCGGCCAGTCAGCACTTAGACTGGTCGATGGTTCTTCCTTAAGGTTAGAGGAAGGTCACGACTTCCTTCCTTTTAAGTGCCCAAAACTATTGATCATACAGCGAAGGAAAACAACGGTAATTTTTTTGTCCAAGGTTTAATTAAACACTGCAATAACCATTGAACGTTTGCAAATATATACATACGATTATGTAAAATTAAAAATAAAATTATAATAAAAAGTAAAATTGCATATAATCTTTTAGTATTCTTCCGATCCATCCTGGAAAAAACTTAAGTAAACTAAAAATATTACGTGACAAACGAGGGACACGTGTGGTAAGAGGCACGCGTCATAAGTGACACGGGTGGGAGCGAGGTCTCACAGGAACTATTGCATGAGGCCAGCCAAGAGGGTCAGGGCAAGCGGGGCAGGGGAGGAAGGGGGGGCAGGTGGGGCAGATGTGCCAGGCGGTAGTTTTCGATGTACAGGTCTTTGACGAGCAGGTCGGCGGCGGCGAGGCGCGCGTGGAGCCTCTGCGCTGCACGTTCTGCTCGTGCTGCTCGCGCCCGTATAGCCGCTCCTGCCGTTGCTCCGTTGCCGTTGCACCGCATCCACACGCCTATCACAAACAAACATACTGTTTAAATTTACTACTAACATTTTTTACTTTCACACATTTGATACAGACAGTCGTCCTATGGAATTCTACTATCAGTTCACATACATTCAAAAGAATACACAAAACTAAGTTAAGTTAATAAAGTTGCCGGCAATTGAGGGAGGAGTATACTTAAATTTATTAAGAAAGAAAGAAAGAAAAGAAAGAAAAAACTTTATTATGCACAATATACAAGATATTTAGATAAAGTAAAGTGCACTGGCCCCCACACTAGGATTCCCTGTGTTTTGGGCAGCCAGTCTCTTCCTTTTGACACGTAAACAGTATTTTAAAAATTATATTAATTATTTCTACACATTTATATTAAAACTATTTTTGCACAATAAGAATATTTTCAGTATCAGAATAGGACAAGTTAACAAGATATCGTTTGAGATGTTTAGTAAATGTATGTAATGTGATTTTTGAAATGTTCGTGATAATTTTGTTTTTAATGAAGTGGTTAAAGATAAAAGGGCCTCGGAAGGAGAAAAAGCGTTGGGCGAAGAAAGTGCGAGTTTTGGGTTGCTTATATATGGGTTTGCGTTTTGTTTGATGCGGTGCGGTGGGTGTTTGTTTCCAAAAAAGTCTGCATATTGCTATTAAATATAATTGTCTCACAGTTAAAAGTTTTGTTTCATTGTACAATTTTGAAGTTGAGTAGCGGAAAGGTTTCTTATATGAAATCTTAAGAATGGCACGTTGGGTGCGCTCAATTTTCAGCATTGAAGACAATGCCGCTCCACCCCAAACCGATATGCAGTAAGATAATATCGACTGGCATAATGCAGTATACACTATCTTAATTGTATGTGGATCAGCAGGCTTTCTAAGGCGTTTGAAAACATTTATAAGTTTGCGAACTCGAGGACATAGGTAGTTAATTTGAGGGCCCCAACAAAGCCTTGAGTCAATAATTAATCCCAGGTATTTGGTTGTTTTAGTGGGTTCCAGGAGAGGACAGTTGCAGTTGCTGTGAAGGATCAAACATGAGTGTAATTTAATAGGCGGAACAGGGTTTGGTTTGCTGGATTTCGATATGTGAAAAAATATGTATTTGGTCTTAGACGTATTTAAGGATAGGAGATTATCTAAAAGCCATTGAGAGATTTGGCGAAGACCTAAATGAGCTAACCGTGTGACTTGTTCCCAAGAGTGTGAGTAGAAGACTATAGCTGTGTCATCAGCAAATGAAAAGAGTTTAGCATTAGTAAGTGCGAGTGAACATAAATCGTTAATGTATACTAAAAAAAGCGTTGGACTAAGAACACTTCCCTGGGGCAAACCACATGAAACGTTTTCTAGTTGACTGCTATACCCATCAACTCGAACCCTCTGCTTTCTATTGAATAGATAGGACTTAAACCAACAGAGGATATTTCCACGAATTCCTTGTCTTTCTAATTTTTCGATTAGCAGTGGTCTGGATACAGTGTCAAAAGCTTTGGCTAGATCAAGAAAAACACCAATACACCTTTGTCCTTCATCTAATGTGGAACTTATGGTCTCAACCAATCCAGCGGCAGCATCCTCTGTAGATCTATTATGTCTGAATCCGAATTGATTGTTGGCAAGGATAGATTCTTTTTCCAAATAATTCAGTAATCTGACGTTAATGATTTTTTCTGTAATTTTAGCGAGTGTTGGGAGTAGAGAAATGGGACGGTAGTTTGAAATTTCCATTTTATTGCCTGATTTATGGATGGGTGTGATATTAGCTATTTTCCAAGATTCAGGGAAGATACCTTGTTCAATACTAAGATTGCAGATATAAGAAATTGGTGCTGCAATAATGTTTTTTAATGAAATGACCACTCGGTTACTAATATTATCATCACCTGGGGCAGAATTAGGCTTAAGAGAGCTGATAATTTTTGTAACTTCTCGCTCGTCACAAGGAAGGAATAGAAAAGAATTCGAGTTAGCGGTATTTATGGCAAAGGTCTCGTTCAGTCTGATTTGTCTTAGACAATATATCGGAAGCCAATTTATTACCCACTGAACTGAAATAACCGTTAACAATATCGAGAGATTTTTCAGGGTTCTCTTGTAGATCAAGAAGTTTATTAGAATTGGATTTAGTTGGGTTTAAGTGGCATATATTTTTGATAGATTTCCATAGTTTTTTACTATTATCTTTATTCTTAAATTGTGCTTGTGAAAGCATCAACTGTTTCATTTATATTTTTGATGTTATATAGAAAGCTCCAATCGACCCCTGCTAAATCTTTATAATATAGTTGGTCGTAGTCTATAACTTTACTCATCATAGGGGAGGCTTTAACTAAATTATTATTGAGGTGTTTGGTCTGATCGATTCCTATAATAACAGACATATTATGATCACTCACTTGGGATGGGCAAACAGCCACGCGTGATTGCAAATGTGATCTGATGAGTGCATGATCTAGACAATTACCACCACGGGTTGGCAAGAAATGACCTTGTATAAGACCGTAGAAGTTCACTAACTCAAGAAACTTATGAGCTCTGTGATCGTCGGTCGTCTCCTTAATGTCGATATTAAGATCCCCAACTATATAAATAGGGTGTCCATTGTACGATAAAATGAGGTTTTCGAGAGAGTCGAGAAAATTATCAACATTGTAAAAAGAAGGTGATCTGTAAATTGATATGATAACAGCATTATTATTTAAATGACTAACTAAACAGTTTGCATCTGTAAAGGCTGGTTCTGTTATATTAAGGTTAATGTTATTTTTATGAAAAATTACGATTCCGTCGCATTTGTTAATAAATTTGTGGGAGAATGTACATGAATACCCATCTATGTGAATACCAGTAAAATTGTCATCAATCCAACACTCAGTCAAAACAATTAAATCAGGATTAAATTGCAGCCTACTAAGAAACACTAGAAAACTATCAAAGTTTTTAAAATTGCTGCGGTTGTTTTGAGTAACAATGGTGAGGTTTGAGGATTCGAAAAACACTTTGCAGTCTTCCGGATAGTTCAAATATTGGTTGGTAATGAAATTTGTATCATCAATATCTCGAATTAAACTTAAATTATCGAATTTTAGAATAAATAGAATAGAAGACATGAAAAACATTAAAATTGTACCTAAAAGTGTGAAGGATTGCGTTACAGATTGGGTGATATTGGTCGAATAGTATAAAAAGGAAAATTAGGCACTTGTATGGGGTATAAAATCTCTCACTATCATAGTGGTACTTTGGTGGGGTTGACATATTCATAGCAATAAATTGTGGTTTGGTTGTTGTACTGTCATATCTGTGGAGTGGTTCAGTATAGGATAATATTTGTTTGTAGAACGTGTTAAACTTTTGTAGAATTTTAAAAAAGTGTGGAATTTAAATATAAACAAGAACATTAAAAAACATAAAACTACAACTAACACCAGTCATGCTTTGTTTAGCGAGTTAAGGTGATCTTCATTTTTTATTAGAATGTAAGGAAAGCCGTTCTTCTTCCTAAGATATACGTTACCATTAACAGACCAGCAGTACTCGTAATGTTCTGACTTCGCAATTTCCCTTGCAAGAAAATAAAGGCGCTTTGCTTTAGGTGTTAAATATTCTGATACATATATAGGTGTGTTACCTCCTAGTCCCAAATGGCTGGCGTTCAGCATGTTAGATCTATTCTCAATGTTGTACTTGCGTGTCGCACTTAAAATGTTGTTCTTTAGGAGGGTGTTCGACAGTTCAACGGTGAGGTTCCAACTCATGTTATCTTTCCTGTTGGTAAAACGGCTAACATCTCTTATATCACCGGAGTGTAACTCAATACTAAGCCCAGAACAAAGTTTCAATATGAAATCGAAAAGCTCCGACTTCGTTGGGGTCGGTGTTTGTTTGGGAACATTTCGGATTTCGATGCATGTCTTGTTCATAGCTCGAGCTAAGGTTTCGTGTTTGTCCTCCAGGTCACTTATTTGAGATGACAACGCCGTCCAATCCTTTTTTAAAACTGACAATTTTTTCTTGTAGCTCAAAGATCTTTTCGGAAACAAAATCTACTGACTTTCCGATGTCCTGGCTAGTGTTATTGGCTGTTGTCAATTTTGCGGAAAGTTCGGCAATACGACCTACTATGGCATCCAGCCGGCTGTTCTGTTGTTCTTGCAATTTGTCGAGCCTGGAATTTTGGTCACGTTGGAACGACCGCAGCCACTCCCTAATTTCATTTTTTAGAACGAGGAATTCGTCCTTCTCGTCGCGCGCAGCTCTTCGCTTTTGTCGCGATTTAGTATTGACGTAATCGCTCTCCTGTGTTGAGCTATCACCTGCATCGCGCTCCAACTGAACATTTCCTTGTGTCGGAGAAGATTTTTTCATTTTGTACTGCTGTTGTCAAAGCTAAGGTTCAATATCCGTTGAAACAGATAGAAGTCTTAGCAACAGGTGTCCTTGTCCTGATTGGCGACCGCCCTTCCAGTATTGCGTGAGATGATTTGCGTATGCGCACAGAGGGACAGTGCAACGTAAAATGGGAGGGGCCAGCGCACCGGTGGAGGGGCCTACGGTTGTCTGATGGAGGCACGGTACCAGGATCACAGCATTTGATGGAGACACACAGAGAATCTAATGCTTCTCGCGCTTCATGCCTGCCGGGTAGCGTAATATAATTTTTGATACCAAATTTATTTAAATTTTGAAAATAAATATTATTTAAACTGCACTTTCACTAAAAACACGTCCAAACTGTACGGCGCCGGAGGGGGAAGAGGAATTAGTATTTATTTAATAAAATAAATATTAACCCGTAGTTCTTGTATTCGCATCCTAGTTGAAAAAAAATTATTTATTTATGCGTTCTTAACATTTGCTCTTTCAATAAAGAATAGTAATAAATCGAAAAAGAAAATGAAAATGTTAGACTTTCGTCAACCAATTAATATAAATAAGTCAACCATTAAGAACCTTATGAATCAATCGACATTTTTATATGTTCGCAAAGTGATTTTACAGTAGCAATATTGTGTACCTTATG